CTACTCTTGTAGCTTCGCCAAGAATGTCATTGCTTGTTTGGGCGCACTTAAGTAGATATGGATGTTGTATCTAGCAGGACGTCTGCTTCTTCTTTGTTAGATATGTTGTGCTAATTTTCATTTCCCGGAAAGAGGGTGAGCTTCCTTCCACAACAGCATGAGTGCGCAGGCATTGTCATGGTGATGCGTTGTTTTATAGTTAAAGTAGCTACAAGCTTGTTTATTTTCCCATTTACGTCAGTCTATCAACTCTAGTTTTATCCTTTATTTCATATCATCTTTTGATTTGGGTAGGGACTAGGTTGATTTTGAAATGGTCATGTTAAGTATTAGATGTTAGAAGGTTAGTTTGTGTAAATTCCCTCAGGGAGGGACCACAACGGGGTCTTTTTTCTTTTGAAATATGTGTTTCCTGGTGGTTAGTGTTGAATTTGGTATTGGAGAAGACTTTCTGTTTATGTTTCTTTATTAGCTGGTAGTTCCCATTTGATCTCGATTGGTTATGGAAATGTCGCATCATCTTTTTAAACTTGATCTGAGGGAGTGAGGGGTAAGGATCAAGGTTGTCAAACCGGTTTAATTGAACCGGTCAAGTAAGGGGTTTGAGGTTTATTGGTCTGATCGAGGTCCGGCCAGTTTGAGTCGTTTTAGACGTTTTCTAAATATATATACAAATAAAGTAGTAATTAAAAATTTAATGAGTGAAATAAAATTTATCTTACATATATCTATTAAAAACTTATTTTCAACAAAATAAATCTACCTAACCTCCATGATCCACCTACCATTTCTCTTCCTTCGTTCCTTTTCCTCTCTTCTGCCTCTCTTCTTCTCCCTGTTTAGGGGTCAGACCGGGGGATTTTCTGGAGGCCGTTTTGAAGCCCGACTCGGGTTGAACCGGGTCCAACTGGGAGGTTTGATAGGGGTTTAACAACCTTGGTAAGGATAGATTTTGATGCTATATTGATAAGGTTATCTGCTTCTGCCACGTTAAACTAATGTCTTTTCAAAAAATTCGGAGTCCTAAGACATAGAGCTATTGTTTCACCAGTCAGCAATTAAAAGGGACGAGGCTGCTGATTTTGGATAATACCTCCCATGATCTCAGCAATTAAAATGCGACCGCCTGTGTTGAGTGACTGAGATCACGTGGGGGCACAATCCAACATCATTTGAAATTGAACACAACCCATTCAGCCCTGCGGCAAAAAATAAGGAGCCATTGCCAAAAGGGATGAACTTGTACTGCAGTATGAGTGGCAGCCTTGTTCAGGATTATCTGGTGTATATAATTGGAGTAGCCACAAGCTTTGTTTATCTCCCCTTTGCATAGGTCAGTCACAGTGCATATTGCTTTCTCTGTGTCATGCAGTTGGCACGACAAGGCATTCTTAATTGAGCAGTATCACTTGAAGAATGTGATTCGGGTCTAATTGCACACATTTTATCCCCGTTTTCCTTCGACGTTTGTAGCATTTGAACTTCTAAAAAGGTGGTTTTACGCTAGGTTGTGTGCATATTAGTGTGTTTCAGGATCCAACATGGTGAAACCAGCCCCGGAGTTGAAAGTTGGACGAAAAGAGGCAAAGACCGGGCAAAGAGGGTGATCCAGGCGAGGTTCACGGGTTAGCATTGGAGTTCACGCTCCCCTATGGCCGTGAACTGAAGCCGAAAACCGTGAACCGCGATGCATCCAGGGAGAAATCTGCAGTTACTGGCGCAAGGCGAGTTCACTGTCAATAATTCGGGTCCAAATATACACATTTTGCCCCTCATTTCTTGATAGTTTGACTTTGCATTTCATCGTTCCTCGACATATTTCATGCTAGGTTGCTTGTTTTGATACATTTCGGGTCCTAGCACGTGTGGGAAGGTTGAGGACGAGTTTCAGGTCAATTGGAGGTCGAAAAGTGCCAAAAAGTGACATTGACAATTGCCCCGTAACTGTGAACATCGAGGCATCCAGGAAGAAATCTGCAGTTACTACCGCGAGACGAGTTCACGGTCTCTAAGACCGTGAACTTGGAGCACAAACAGTGAACCCAGGAGAGTGAAGGGGTGCGTTTTGGAGACGACGCTGAGTTCACGAACGCGTTTAGGCCAACGCGGCCTAGAACTGGTCACTTTCGGGCAAATATGAAGACAACAGCGGGGAGAGAGAAAGGAGAGCTGGTTTTTGGAGAAGGAACTTCTTTTCTAGGGTTTCAACCCAAAACACCAAAGGGGAGTTCTAGTGAGAGAGGGAGTGATCTTGGGGCTTAATGGAAGGCATTGATCAAGCTTGGAAGCTAGGAATCAAGCCTAGAAGAAGATGAAGATCTAGAGGTTTCTTTGTAATCTCTCCTCTCTCTCTCTCTCTAGAAACTCACCCTCTTCTCTTTGGTTTAAGAACCCTAGGTCTAGATTTGGGTTTTATGTTGATGTATGTGACACATTCCATGTTTGATTGATGATTTTATTTAATTGATGGATGTTTTCATGAATGGCATGAGTGTGGTTTCCATTTTCATGCTTTGAGCTTTTGACCTAGGAGTGGGATAATCCCCTTAGAGCCCATTCCTTGGCATCTTCGGGTGACTCCTATCGTAAATTGTCCGAGTAGTCCCCGAGGGATTTTATTCCACCGGTCTCCTAGCATTATACGAAACCCTAGGTTGAATAAAGCACTACCCATCCATCGATTTGCCGTTCCGGGTCATTTTCGAGGGCGTCCATCTCCAAACGGTAGTGTATTTGAGTCGATCGAGCTAGGAGGATACCCAACATTGATCCAAAGAACGGACCTAGGACGTTCGAGCCCAAGTGAGCTCCAACCTTGTAAATAGCTAGGTTAATGGTTAGCTATGTTAGTTAGCTTAGTTTTATTAATCACCATCCACAGGTTGGCTAGATAACGAACCCTAAACCTGAAGTAGGGTAAGTCTAGATCCCTATGGTACGATAAATTCTTATTGCTTGCTTGCCCTATGCTACACCCGGTCGGCGGTTATACTTGGCCGTCGATTGGGATGTTGTAGTTAGAACGAGTCAAGTTTTTTTTTCGTTGAATCAGTTGCCCTCATCTTATTAACCATAAAACTAGCAAGATGCTAGGAGAACCAGATACAACGAAACGGGTATCCTAAAGATACACAAAGAACCAAGTAAAGCTCAACCATTCTCTACTGTTGGCCATGATTACTACTTTGGTGCCACACACATCATTGCTACTGAAAAGAACAAAAAATAGAGCATCAAGATATGTCAAAACGTGCTAGCTCATCCATAATGCACCTAGTTGTTCCCACCACCAGCAAATCACTCCTGATCAACCCCTACAATTCAGTAGCTGAACGGTGAGGTTCTCCATGCTTTTGCCTACATCTTTCCTACCAAATGGAAGCCACCAGGTGAAAGAGCACGGATCTAGGTGTGCGATTAGGGATCGTGATTGGTATGTGAATTAGAGAGATTTGAGTGAGATAGAATTGGGATTAGGGTTGAGAGAAAGAGGAACCCGATTACCGGGAAGGTGGCCGACGGGTAGAGAGGGAGAGGAAGGGGGCTCGGCTAGAGAGAGAGGGAGAGAGTGCTTAGGGAATATTCTGTTGTTATTGCTTAACCCTAGCTTAGGCGTAATACAGAATATATATAATCCGACTAATTCCCTATAACTACCCAAAGACTTAACCTAACTGATTTAACCCCAATAATTCCCGAAATAGACGACATAACATAAAACGTCTAAATAACAAATAAACCCCCAATTAATGACTATCTAACATCCCATCGCCCTTAAAACCCACATTGCCCTCAAGGTGGACTTTCTTTCTTCTCTTCCACTTCTCGCGCCTCCATCTCCTCCCCTTCATACTCCCAGTTTCCGACCAGCAGTATTAGATGACCCTTGGCGCATTGGTGTCCCACCGTGTACCTTTCGTCATATTTGAAGCAACGACCGTCTCTGCGCTTCTGATCCATTTCCGCCTGGGTTAGCCGGACAAACCCCTTAGGTGGCAGCCTTGACTGGAACCTGTTACCCGATGATGCTCTAGTGGCCGCCCAGGCTTGCATTTCCCGACGGCGGTGTGGTACCAGCTCCTGCTCCCATTCCTCCACTGGCCTTCAGGATACGCCCACCCGACGTCCTCCAACTAGCCAACTCCTCTTCCTTGCTCCTTGCAATGCTGAAAGCAACTCGAAGAGAGTCAGGTTCGAAAACCTTAACGGCGGTTGCCAGCTCAGGGTGGAGTCCCACCATACACAATCCCACCATATTCTCCTCCGTCATTTCCTTGCACTGGTTTCCCAGCTTAAGGAACTCCGCACGATACTCGACCACCGACCCTGTCTGCCTGAGCTTGGCCAGCTGTTCCGGAGCCCATCCTTTGCCTTGCCAAACTGATAGCGCAACTCATCCTGAACCTGGGCCATGATATGATCTCACCTGCCGCTGCATAAGCTCTCTCACTCCATTCCCACCACTGCAGGGCATCTCCCTCAAGATAGAAGGATGCCAGGTGCGCCTTCCTCTCTTTTCGGATCGGGTGGTTCCTGAACCACCTCTAAGCTGCATACAACCACAAACCCACATCTCCCGAGCCATCGAACTTGGGAAACTCTATCACTGGTGGTTTAGCTCTAAATACCAATTCCTCTTCAGTCTCATATAGAGGGTTACTGTATTCGTACCTGCCTGTGTTCGACGGAAGTTGTCGATTCATCGGACCCTAATGGTAGTGGCTGCCGGCGGCTCTCTGTTGGTGCGGGTAGGGCCAGTCGCCCGTCATCTCCTGGTGGTTCTCGTCGTACTTGGGTTTGGTCTCGGACCCTTGCCCAATGTCCCGACAGCCTCGACCTCCCACTGCTCGCTTTGTACTCCAGGGGGACCCGTACTCCTGGCCCCTGCCGGACCCGCTCCAGCGGTTGTCCGCTGGTGGTTGACCCGACCTAACCCGGTTGGTTCGGCCCGGTCCGACCGGTTGGTCGTCCAGTGGTCGGCCCGACTTCGGGTCCAAGATTCAGCCCCATCTTGCCTCCTCTGGGCTCGGGGCCACCCAACCCTCTGGGTCCCCAAAGCTAAGCTCATCCTCCTTCCCTGGCCCAATCGGCCATGGTTCTTCCCCGTCGGGCCCAATTGGCCACGACTCTCCTTCGTACCCAACCATCTTATACTTCCCACGGACCTTGTCATGGACCGGATCCGTCGGCATTGGCAGCAAACCCGGTCCGCTGAATGCTGGCGCAGGCGCGCTCCTCGCGCCCAAATTCTCCTGCTCCCCGACGCGGCTGCGCGGCATGGTCGAGCTCTCCGGCGCACCGCCCGTCGCGGCCAAGACCCGCGCCGCCCCAGCCTCATCACCGCCGCCCGGCGGCTTCTCCTCTGCCACCTCCTCCTTCCGGCGCGCTACCACCGCCGTTCGCCCAGCTCTCGCGCCGCCGCGTGGCGGCTCCGCGTTGCTCGCGGCGGCCGCGTCGCCGCCCTCTTGGCCCGCCAACCCCTCGGAGGCTGCTGCTGCCGGCATCATCCCCATGGCCGTGATCGTCGGCAGCTCCCGGTTCCTCAGAACCTGGGTTAGCACCTCCTACATCGCCGCTGCTAGGGCTCCGCAAATATTTTTAGCCACGCTCTTTCCCATCTCTTCGATGGAAGCTTTCATTTGGCCACCCATGGCTTCGATTACCCCGATCGAGCCCTTCGAGGCCTCAGCTGACCTCACAGTAACCTCCGTCAAGCTCTCCAACGAAGCTGCTATCGCGTCATACTTGCTTGTCGTCACATCCTTGACCGACACAACCTCCTTGTTCTGGCGCGGCAGCTGCTGTTTGTCCGTAGGGTTTGACATCGTCAGAGTGCAGTGTTTCTTCAGAGAATCGGCACACCAGCCAGGCTTTGATACCACTGAAAGAGCCCGAATCTAGGTGTGCGATTAGGGATCGTGATTGGTATGTGAATTAGGGATTTGGGTGAGATAGAATTGGGATTAGGGTTGAGAGAAAGAGGAACCCGGTCACCGGGAAGGTGGTCGATGGTTAGAGAGGGAGAGGAAGGGGGCTCGACTAGAGAGAGGGAGAGAGTGCTTAGGGAATAATTCTGTTGTTATTGCTTAATCCTAGCTTAGGCCTAACACAGAATATATATAATCCGACTAATTCCCTATAACTTCCCAAAGACTTAACCTAACCGATTTAACCCCAATAATTCCCGAAATAGCCGACATAACGTAAAATGTCTAAATAACAAATAAACCCCCAATTAATAACTATCTAACACCAGGAAGCACCAAACTCCATCCACAACCTTTCCCCATTTCAACAGCTTATCAGTCATGACAATACCATCCAAAAGAACAGTCCATTAAAGGAAACTATTCCTAGGGATGAAACCATGCCCCCACACTAGTTGACGCCACTCTACAACAGACCATTTTGGTCGAATTGTTTCCCAAACAACACCTAAAAAGAACTTGGACATAGGGAGGTGATTCCAGAAGACCTCCCATCCCTGCACATGAAAGTATTGCTGAAGCACAATCCGAGTGTTTAACATTCTTCTCCAAGCGCATGAGCCACTTGAACTTGACTTTATTGTCCAAATGCTACCCTGTTTAATCCTGTAGGTGATAACGATGTAATTGCACGTATTTGCACCCCTAGTTCTTATCTGTTTGAGGGGCATAGTCGTGTATTTTTGGCCTATTTTACCCCGGGTTGTGCTACTTTGTCATATTTTAGGTCCCAGGCGTCAAAGGAAAGGCTAAGCACGAGTTTCGGGGCATTCAGAAGTCATTCGGTCGAGCTGGAGCCAAAACACGGGCACACCTAAATCAGAACACAGCCGTGTTCCTAGACCGTGCTTTTACTGCCGAGACTTGATCTGAGTTTGGCAAGCACTAGCTCAAAACACGGGCATGGCTGAGACAGAACACGGCCGTGTCCACCAAAAGCACGGCCGTGTTTCTCCCAACAGGCTGGCCGTGTAATTAACCCTTTGCAAAGCACGGGCGGGCTGGAGCAAAGCACGGCCGTGCCTTCGACCGTGTTTTGCCCAGTGATGCCCTTTTAAGCAGATTTCAGCCAAAAGAGAAGGGGATTCGAGTTTTAGAGAGACAGAGCGATTCCTAGAGAGAGAAAGCGACGAACAAGAGTCTCCAAGTGCCCTAGCTTGATCTTCATCACCATTGGAGCTTGGCTTGAGCTTGGAGAAGTGCCGATCAACGTCCAGGAGCAGGAATCCATCCTTCACAGTATGAATTCCGCGTCTGATTCTGCTTTTGCTTCTTTCTCCATGGAGTAGTTCTCCCATTCATCTGGATATGGAGAACCATAGATTTGTATGTTAGGTTTGATTGTATGAACCCAAGTACTGAATCTATGATTTGATTATATTCAATTGAGGTTTGAATGATTGAATGAATTGAATCCTGATCAAATTCCTGTTGTTTCTGCTTTAACCTAGAATGAGAATATCTGCCTAGGTTGATAGAGCATCCTTGATTGAAGGTAGGGAGTTGGTGACTTTAGTCGAGGAGCCAACTCACTATTCTGTACCGAATTCACTTCGGTAGTGGAGGTTTTGTTCGTTAGGGCCTCAATCTGTTTACTCCGGTGGAGGTTAGTCGCCCGCTAGAGACTCAGATTGAGAGGGTCTGGAGACCTTTAGTCGAGACTTCAGACAGCTTAAGAACCTTCCGCAGTATAACTATCATAGAAGCTGAACTTGGTAATTGCAATCCGGCTTAACTGCAGTCTAGGGGGAATCATATCCGGGTGACCTCTCTTAACCTGAAAACAACCATTTAGTTGCTTTGCTTGTTTGTTAGTTTAGACTTGCTTTAAAGTTTCATTGCTAGATGACAAGAATTCACCGAGTAGTCATCAAATCTAGGACCCGGGTTGACATTAAAACCCAAACCCGCTATACTACGCTTTAGGAAGTGGTTTCACTTGGCCATTTTCTAGAGTGATAATAGAAGTGAGTCAAGTTTTTGGCGCCGTTGCCGGGGACGGCTAGGTTGTTGAAGAAAAGTGATTTCTGTTAATTTAGCTTTTCTTTTCGCATTGTTTGCTTTGTCCCACTTGTGCCTTCACGGGTTTGCTTGCTTGAGTGTGTGCAGGTAGTGCATGACCCGTAGCCAGTCGGGAGGTTTACTGTCGTTGAATCCAGAGATTCACCGCACCTGTCGCCAACTCAGGAGACAACAGCGAGCTAGACTGGCTATGGAAGAGCGCATAGACGGCCACTTGAGCAGCGATTCTGAGGAAGAGTACGGGATGGACGACGATTACAATCCACACCAGGGGAATCCTCAGCAGGCTCCCCCGGTGAATCAGGTCCTGGGGAACAACCCCATACCCCAGGCAGATGGGGTTCATCATCATCACCCGCCGCCGGGTCCCACCTTGGAGTACTACTACACTCCACGGATTGCTGACATCCGCCCGGTCATCCTCTACCCGCCTATTCCAGCAAACAACTTCAAGATCAAGCCATGCTGGATTCAGCTCATTACATCCTCTATTCAGTTCCATGGCTTGAAGGATGAGGAGGCCAGGGTACATCTTTCCCGTTTTCTGCAGCTAACGAACGGGTTCAAACTGAATGGTGTCCCCGATGATGCAATCCGCCTTCACCTTTTCCCCCATTCTCTGGCGGGGAATGCTAAGAGGTGGTTGGAGACCCAGCCCCCATTGTCCATCACCTCTTGGGACGATCTGGCTGACAAATTTGTGCACAGGTACTATCCGCCATCGAAGACTACAGAGATCCAGCGGGAGATCACTCACTTCCGCCAAGAGCCAGATGAGTCACTTCGTGATGCATGGGAGCGGTACATGGGATATTTCTGGCAGTGTCCCCATCATGGTTTCAGTGATGCATTCACAGTGGGGAACTTCTACAGTGCCCTCTCTCTGGACAGCCAGAGGGTGATTGAGTCTCTATGCCTAGGAGGGGATATTCTTACTAAGACTCCGCCCGAGCTGAACCAGATGATCAATACCTTGGCTGCCAGAGATCATTCTTGGGGGCAGAGCAGCAGAGGCAGACATTCCCGGGACCGTGGTGTGCACGCCATGGAGACCAGATCCGGGCTCGAGCAGCAGGTAGCTGAGTTGGTGCAGACATTGAAGCAGCCCAACAGTCTTATTCCGGGCAGAGGTTTGGCTACACCTCCAGTAGCTCAATGTTAGTGGTGTGAGAGCTCAAATCACCTGGTGGAAGACTTCCAGGCTATGAGGGAGTCTACTACTCCCCAAGAGCAGTTGGACTTCATCGGCAATGCTCGGCGCCTCGACCCGTACAGCAATACATATAATGAGGGGTGGCGCTAGCATCCCAATTTCGCTTGGAGCAGCAACACCACTAAACCACCTGGTTTCCCAGCACCCGCTGGTGGTTTTCAGCAGAGGCAGCCTTTCCAGGCTCGACAGGGGCCAGCCCCACAGCAGCAGCCCTACCAGCCTAGGCAGGGGCAACCATTCCAGCAACCCCAGTGTCAGTATGCCGAGCCAGCAGCAGCTCCCGCCCCAGATGATCGGATGACAAAGCTGGAAAATATTCTAGCTTCATTCATGACTAGCACTCAAGCAACTGTCACGAGGTTGGACCAGAGCATAGCCTCACTTGAGGCAGGTCAGAGGAACCAAGGTGCCATTTTGCAAGATCTGCAGAACCAGGTGGGTATCTTGGCCCGCCAAACCACTACCAGGGCATCGGGGACTCTGCCTGCAACCACTATTCCGAATCCTCGTGATCCTCACCAGCACCAGCAGCTGGATGCCATTTTTACCAGGAGAGGTAAGACCATATCTGCTGATCCTGTCCCGGCCAGGCAGGAGGAACCACTACCTGCTTCAGCACTTCCAGCCGACGATGCAGCAGTGCGGGTGGAGAAGGAAGCCCCTGCTCCCAAGCCACAACCAGTGGTTAAGGAGCATGTACCCCAGCTTCCCTTCCCCACTCGCCTACACAAAGACAAGTTGGAGACTGAGTTTGCCAATTTTATGGCAATGTTGAAGCAGCTCAACATCAGCATATCGTTTGTGGAGGCACTGTCAAAGATGCCCAAGTATGCCAAGTTCATGAAAGACCTCCTCACCAACCAGAAGAAACTTGAGGATCTTTCGACAGTGATGCTCAGCGAGGAGTGTTCTGCTATTCTGCAGAACAAGCTGCCCGAGAAGCGAAAAGACCCAGGGAGTTTCACTATCCCTCTTGTTATTGGCAGCATGCATGTAGGAAAGTCCTTGGTGGACCTAGGCGCTAGCATAAATGTCATGCCATATAAGTTGTATAAAAAGCTAGACCTAGGCGAACTTAGCCCTACTAGGATGAGCATTCAGCTAGCTGATCGTTCCATTGTGCATCCTAGGGGGATCATAGAGGATCTGCTAGTTAATGTAGGTGCATTCACATATCCTGTTGATTTTGTTATTCTTGATATACATGAGGATGTGGATGTGCCTTTGATTCTGGGTAGACCATTTCTTGCCACCGCCAAGGCACTTATTGATGTGCATGATGGTAAACTGA